GAAAAAAAAAATTATTTATTTATTATGTATTATGTACATTGATGATCCCGAAAAAATAAGTGTATTCATTTATTACATAATTATACATTTATGACTAACCTAGTAACTATAATAACTTTACCTTAGGTATTGAAAATATTTTTATCGCAATTGGTCTTTATCGACCCTAAATTATATAATATAGAGCGCATTATCTATCTACCCTGAAATACTTAAAACGCAATTGGATTATCGACCCTCAAATGTTTAGCGCAATTGATAATTTGAGTTTAAACAAAAAAACATGGCCACATATTATATGCTGTGTAGCCCGTAATCCATGAAATAATTAATATAATACCTACTCGGTCGCATTTAATTATTGTAAATTTGTAAACAAATAAACTTATAGCACCTATACGACTTGCAAAAATCTCTAACGTCGTTTGTGTTATTGCAGTTGCTTTGCATAACAACCTCATTAGCCATTAAAAAATATAAACATTCCACTAAGATAAAAAATGCATTCATTCACTCACTCACTCACTCAATAGACTGTTGTTATATAGGTACGATGGGATAACCTCTGATCCATTTTCTCATAATATTAACAAATGAAAGTTACGACTTTCGGAAATCTCATTGCAAGATTTCTTTGGGTTCTGCGTCACTACAATTTTGGCTATAAAAATATCTATTTATAATTATATAATACATAATAACATTGAGCCTTAAAAGTTAAAATGATACATAAATAGGCGGTTAGTGATATTATTATATAGTGTTGTTTTCAGTGGCCGTTGACCTTTGGCCRACCACTCTTATCGTTTAAAAGCACATTCTACGTTGGTTGCTTGTAGACTGTAGATCATAACGAATTACTACAGTTTCGAGCCTTTGCGGTGATATCGGGTTACAATTATATGTAAATAGCTGGTATAGTATTATGTCACCCATAGGCGTGCGCACGGGTATGGCTGATTGGGCTTTAGCCCCACCTGACCCTTTTTTTTTCATACGTGGGTGCCTAAAAAAGTAATAAGGTGTTATACGTGTTATAACCGTAGAAAATTGATAAAAAAATAAATCAAAATCATAGATAGTATTTACACGTTAAAAGATATAAATAATATTGACATTCCCGATGTCWAAAAACGAAAAATTTCTAAAAAGGTTGATGACAACTCAACTATGGTCATCAATATTCTTGTTTTTATTTTGCACTTTACCAGATTATATCTGGATTAAAGTATTAAACGTTCGATTCAACCAAGACAGTCTTAAATTAATCAAATGGGTTTGGAAATTTGGTTAATCTCGAGACATTAATGTTAATGAAWTAAAATTATTAAAAAACATGGATAACACTGAAAGGAACATCAACTAAAGAAGTTTACATTTGGATAAAATGGCTCAACGAGAGTGATCGGTCAACTATTTTTAAAAATGTTTTGATTGTTCTTAAGTCATTCGTTAATTCGTTATCATTCCTGTTACAAGTTGTAGCYGTGAACGGGCYTTTTCTAAACTTACTATTATTAAAACCAAGCTTCGATCCACAATAAACC